CGTGTAAATACACTTTTGACGTAGCTAATTTTAGGTTTTATAATATAGATTTGCAGTAAGATTTCCAGCGTGAGTCTGAAAGCGTGTCAGGCCAGATGCTTGAGATTTGGCAGCCATGAAAACGTAAATTTTTTGTTTCACCTGAGTTTATTTACATAACACCTTTCCACATATATTAATCATCCAAGGGCAGGACTGGCAATCAAATACACCCCCACACCATTAACATATATGCCACTCAGGAGATGTGTCCTATACATCTCCAACAATTTCTCTCTGACTTGACGCCAACATGCTATAAAACCACCAGGACCGCAGCTCTTTAATCTTTAGGCTCAATCAGAACTGAGCCAGCAACACTTCAATATAAGACAAGAAAAAGCTGTAAGGTCCTGTTTGGTCAGAGTCTTTCTCATGATGGTGGGTAAATCTGGGGTGGCTCTTCTGATCCTCATGACTTCTTGTGTGCATATTAAAATGGGGCTGATATGTGGAGCTGGTGACTTAACAGTCTAGGTTGTCAATTGAACACTATATGAGTTAATAAATATTAAATAAATATTTTCTAGTTGCATTTTACAAATGCAATACTACTTAGATACTGTATAGATATTGTATATAGTGTATAGTACTGTATATAGTATTGTGCTGTACAATATACTGTAGATGCATTGAAATAGATTGACTATACTCATATTTAAACCATGCTGATTATACACACATACAGTATAATGCACACGATTACATTCCACTATTCAAATTGTTTTCTACTTGACTGCTTTTGTTACATTTGCGCAATTTCTGGATGTCTAAAATACCTATTGTATGCTTTTTGTGTTTAGAGTTATTTTGTAGGACGACATTCACTATAATTAACGGAATCATTGCTATCTGTTTGAATTAAGTTCAAACTAAACGCCAAGTTGGCAGAACAGACACAAACAGCCCTAAACCGCTTGCCTGAACCGAGCCGCATCGAAAACCACCAGCTTGGCTGAGAGATTATACATGGTGAACTGGGGAATATACTGAGGATCATGTAGACTGAGCTAAGTCTATATTTACAATCGCTCCTTTAATTGTACTATGGGTTCACAGATAGCCTACTTACAGTACGGCTTTGATGTTTGTTACCTTTTTTTCTTGGACATGTGTGATGTTAAATACCCCGCCTTAGCCTGTTATAGCTATTTCACATATGTCCCTAAAAGTGTTATAATTTAGCAGAGTATCTTGTTCCCAAGGGGGAAATTGTTGTGTTTTGAATTAAGTTGCAGTACTGCTGCTTGTCCAGTAGATGGAATAAAAAGGAATAAGAATAAGAGCTATACATTAGAGTGCATACGGATAAGGAATGTGGCTGTGAGCTGGCGAACAATAGAGTGCTCCGTCGGACAAAACACTTTCTGTCCCTCTGCGTCTGATTGCTACAGCAGAATTTGCCGCGGTGTTATAGAAACAGTTCTTTGTACAAGAATGAAGGTGACGATGCAAATCAAAACTTTCAGCGTTATTTTGATCGTGTTGAAGTTCGCCAGTAACTCTGATGGTATGTACATTTTGAAGACAGTTTTGTGTGTCTGCTAACTCGTATAATAATGTTGAAGAAATTTTAATCGAGTTCTTGCTTTGGGTGTACTAATTATTATACCCATATCTGTTTAACAAATATTCAAGTAACTTCGTTGCAATGTAAGTGGTCGCTCCCTGCATGTTAATGAGGACCATCTGTGACGGGGATGGGGGGAGGGAGTTATAAAGAGCAAGCCAAGTTGGGGAAGGGGGAGGAGAACGGCCGGTGTTGTGCCGAATTCTGCACCCCTGCCGTGAAATGCACCCCCTGTCGGGAGCGCGCACCGCTATTTTCTTCGATTCGAAGGGGGAAAAGTAGTACAGTTTCATACACAGAGAGCGCTGTCCAAAGCGTTTTGGGATATAATCACCAGAGACAGAGATACAGGGGGGTGCCATTCCCGGCAGGTAAAATGAACCCCCCCCCCCCATCACCCCACGTGCTGCACGTGATATGGCATTCATGAAATTCAGTAATTGTTATCTATTTCTTTATTTCTTCTTCTATTATTTTAAATATGTCGATTGCTAACAGCATTTCGTGATAGAATTAAAGGGAAGAATGGAAATGAATTTCCTGCCAGGTTAGCCGTCATAAAGACAAATATCTTTTTTGTTTAGGTATTTCAGATCACTGTACCAGAACATTGTCTTCATTGTGGAGAAAAATAAATTATTTTATAAGTATAAGGAATAATATTGTGTGATTTTCTTTGGTTATTAAAGCCAAGGACTTCCTTGTTCTCAAACTTGTAAACTGATGACGAGATAAATAAATAACCTACGTTCTCGTTCGGGGCTCATCGTCTACATGTCACAGTTTATAACTTTTATTTGGGTTAAATGCAGCCTTCGTGAAGTGAAACAGTGATAAAGGTCTTCTAAATGTGCAAGCTAAATTTAATATTTCTGTTGCATAATTAGATTGACGGAACTACTTCTTTATTTCCCCCTTGGAATCGAAGAAAAGAGCGGTGCGTGCTCCCGACAGGGGGTGCAGAATTCGGCACAACACCTATTACGTGTTACGGGAAATTCCCTGTTCCCCCCTGTCACGCGCTGATTCGAAATCATGACGTCACTAGCGCTACTTTTGTGTTAGACGGCTTTTCTTTAGATAGAAAGTTTCTCTGTCGTTTTAATGTCTTTCTACGAAGCTATTGAGGTAAACAAGCCATATATTTTAAAACATTACATGCCTTTTCGATGTTTCTTTGTTTTTACAGATACTAAATGAAATTATTGAATTTGCAGGATATTCTTAATGAAATTTCATTAAGAATTTCATTTTCTTAATAAAAACGGTAAAGTCTTGCTTGTAAGACTATATCATGCATGACGATCTACTGTATTCACATGTAATAATATACCTGAGTGATTTTCAGACATCTCACATACATCTTTGCTTAAATATTAGCGGAAATATTTTTTCCTGATATCCAGAATATTTGCTTCCCCCTGTTAAAACAGAAATACAGCAACTCTGGGCCTCAGTACTAATAACAATACTGTATTCACATGTAATAATGTACCTGAGTGATTTTCAGACATCTGGATATCAGGAAATAATGTTTTCCCTAATATTTAAGCAAAGATGTATGCAAGATGTCTGAAAATCACTCATATAGTCTTACAAGCAAGACTGATATTTAACATTTCTGCACATACATTTTTTTACTGCCATAATTTTTTGACTGACTCAGTTCTGTTCTTGCCATTTTGCTAGTAATTGCTATTGTAATCACTGGTACCCAAAGGGATACTAAACACAAATGTTTGGTGTTTTACGCTTTTGCAAAGGTGTTACTAATTAAAAAGCACCCAGTGAGACTGCTTGTCAATGAACTTTTTCACTCATTATAGTTCTAAAAGAGCTGTTCTTTGGGTTTCAATTTATTAGTGCTGTCAAACGATAAAAATTTTTGATCAGATTAATCACAAGGTTGCTGTGGATTCATTTCGATTAATCACAATTAAATATCATTAATTTTTAATCTATATTAATCACATTTCATTTTGCATGAGCAAACAGACTCAAGAAAAAAGGGAATATATATATGTACTTAACATGTTTATTGAACATGTTGAACACGAGTCGGATGCATTCCATCTGCCACAGAAGTGCAATACCATGGACCCATATCAAAAAGCAAGACTTTTTGCTTAGCCGGACAACTTGTCGGATTTAAGGTACCTCAGTTTAAATGGTCTTTATCTTCATTCGCTTACAATTAGCACGAACTACCGTAAATCCGACAAATAATCCAGCTAATCATGAAATCCAATTCTAGCCCGGTTGCCATTGTTACCAATATCAGTTAACACATTAAGCGCGGTGCTTTACGCATAAAACTCCGTAGCAACACGTCCACAGATAAGTTGGACGGTATAGTGTGTGCGACCGATTTAATGAGCCACAAATGAGAAGTAGTGCTTAAACAGTATAAAACTACAACTTTCCCTTCTGTTGATAAAAGGCGCAGCCATCTTAGATTCTGAACTCGGGATCCTCTGTGCTGCTCCGAGATCTCAGAGAAACGGGATCGTGCATGCCGTCATTTCCAGCTTCAAAACTCCGGAATCCGACTCGGAAATACGAGTTCCCAGGGCAAATGGAACGCACCAAAACTGCCCGAAATGGGTTGACAGAGACATTTCAGGGATTTTGAGACATTTTGCGCTGCAGATGGGTTAATTGTGTTAAATAATTTTAATCAGATTAATCATGATGATGGATTAATCTGCGTTAACCCGTTAATTTTGACAGCCCTACTTAAAACTACTGGTTATTTCTAATGGGATATATATTTTTCTAAAGAAAAGAATAAAGGAGTGATTTTTGTTATAAAATCAATAAATTTGTAATATTTTTGCTGAATTAAGCAAGCATCACAACACTTTCTATAAGCATTGTATGTACACAAACAATGTGATTAAAAACTTGTTTTGTTGACCTTGTGGGACATTTTTTGGGCCCACGAGGGAAACTCAATGTTTCGCAACTTGGCAAATGAAGGATGCATTTCAAGGTCGCCTTTGAAGGAGCCTTTGAAGTGGGACAGCCTTTTTGCATCACTGTGACACATTTGGTCTTCAAATACAGCCCTTAGAAGGATGCAGCCCCCTGAATTTGGACACAACCATAATCTTTTGGTCTGTGTTAGATTTTTTTAGGTAGAAATACTTCCAAACTACAGACACAGCTCCTCGCTTGAGCACAAGTTGTTCTAGTGAATCTCCGGTCTCATTCTTTTTAGCCCCGGTCTCTGTTTTCTGTTCTTTAATCTACTATAGCTACAGAGCCTCTCTGCTAACCAGCTGCTATGCTGCCTGCCTAGTTAGCAAGCTGTGCCTAGTTAGCAAGCTGTACCTAGTATGCCATTCCGTGGTGTCGTGTTGAAAATGTATATTTATTAGTCTTTCAAATTGTTTAAGTGTCACAAATTGCTGTTTGTCACGGTGTTTTGCTCTCTTAAAGGGGACAAGCTGATATAAACGTGAAACATATAGAGTAACGTGAAACTTTATTGACCAAACCGCTGATCGACATGCCACAGGAGGCAGGAATTTGTACGATTGTAGGGATTTTGCATGGCAGAAATCCAGTAAACCCTACAGCAATAAAAGCCTAAAGCCTTCACTATATACATCATGAAACTGAAATGTTTCCATATTATATGTCTTGCATGTTTTTGTGCTCTATAAAATCAAATAAAAAGACATGCATCCATCAAAACTACTTCAGTTAAAACTTCTTTGTTTAAATACTGTATAACCATTTTTGTTTCCTTACAGGAAAGGAGACAATGGGAGACTTAGTGAAAGCTACCCGATCAATTTCCAAGGCTGAGGATTTCAGAGATGACACCAAGCTGATAATGCAACCCTATGCTAACTGGGAGGAGTACTTGGTACCTGCCCCAGTCTCCATAGCCATTCTGGGGGAGCTGGTCTTTATCTCCTCTAATGTAGATTTCTCTATCAACAAAAACCCTCCAAAAGGTGGGTTTCAGTTAATCAGGTACCCAGACTCATTCCGAGCCTGTCTTATGCAAGTGGCTAATTCTGGATGGGCAGCATTCAATGAGGCTCACACGAACATGGACCAGATCCGTCTCCACACTGGCAATGTGCCAGCTTACATCAGCACATCAGTTCAGATATTACTACAGGAGAATGATGAGCTGATCCAAATCCTCCTCCCTGACCAGCTGGAGAACATAGCTACTATATCAGACCAATGTGTGCAATTGGCTGAGCGAACAGAGAAAAAGTTCACCTTTGTTATTAATCTGATCCAAGAACTTTTAGAAGCTTGTATAAGTGCAAAGAAGGTATATGGTGATGAACTGGAAGAAGTCCAGCGTAAAATTGAGGAGACAGAAAGGAGGAAGAACGATTCAGTGAGAGCCAATGAAAGAGCTAAAAAAACACTTGAGGAGATGAATAAGCAGCTAGAAGATGCAAAGACAACATTTGATAAAGCAATGAATTCACTACCATCAGGGTGGGAATTGATTGGCATGAACTTTGTAGAGGGACTCACACAGGGTATAGCAACTACTTTGACCCTTGGGACAAATCTGGCGGCAAGAGGTGGAGGAGGTACAAAAGGCACACAAGCAAGAATGGAAGATGAAAATGTCTTTGCTATGAATAATGTGCTTTCAAAATCAGGTCAGCTTCTAGGGCTGGCTGAGACGTTGAACAGCTTTATTGACAATAATGAAATTCAACTGTCTATGATATATGATCAACAGAAAGGAACAACACTGACATCATTCCTGGAGGAACAATATAATGAGGTAAAAACCTCAGTGGAGCGTGAAAAAGACTGTAAAGCTAAAAAGGACGCACTCGACATCTGCACAGATGCTATTAAACTGTGCTCTGAGCTCACCGAGATCGCACCTGAAGGGCAATGCGATGCTGCCAAGTCGAAAGACATGATTGGAAGAATGCAGAATGTGCTGACAAAAACTCAGAAATTTGACTCTCAGAACAAAGCGTTCACAAACACACCAGCATTTACACCTCAACCCCCACAGCAAGCTAAGGAAAGTGGGTTTAAACGGGCAGGTGATATGGCGGTGGAGAATGCTCGTTTCCGCATAGAGCAGAGTCGAGTCCAGCTGGACAAGGTGAGAGAGATACAAAAGGAGAGTTTGGAAAACCTGGAAAAAAACCAGAAGGAGCTGACAGATATCTTAGTCACACTGAGAAACTGTGAAGTAAAAGAGATTGACTTCAACACCACCATTAGAATGCTGGTCAAAGGTCTAGATGCCATGGGAAGAGTGAAAGAGCAGTGGGAGAAGATGGTACGCTTCTTCCAGATGATCTCCAACATCGTTAAGACCTGCCTGGATAGATCTCTGACTGATTTTGTGAAACAGTCTCAGGCGGCATCTCAGAAAAATCTGTCATATAACACAAAAAAGTTCATGAAAGACCTGATCTACCAGCAGGCCTTTTATGCATCGAATGTAGCCAGCTTGGTTAACATGATCTCAGGGACCTACGTTGAGATTTCTGACAAACATGTGATGGACAGGATCAGCAGCCTGGGCAAACTCATGGCTCTGGATCCCAGCAGACCAGATTTTATTAGTGAGCGTGAAAAATTTCAACTTGCCTGTGAAGACGCTCAAGAGGCAATAAGAGATCTTGTGACGAAGAACAACATGAAATTTGAGCAAAAGACAAAAGAGAGGATGGAGAGAATTGAAAGTGAGCTAAAGCCAATGTTACCCCCAGTATCTGAGGAGAAAATGAATGAGATCAAAGAAATAACAGAATCTGCATTTAAAGAAATGAGTCAGGAGGATGAAGATCAGTTTGCATGAAGGTTCTATTAAAGCATGAATAGGTAAAAAAAAAAAAAGCTACAGAACACATACATTTCAGTATTAGAGATACACATATATGAGCACAATATATAGCCTACACATAACAGTCATTAATGCTAGAAAGCTTAGCTATACTCTTACGATGCATGGGACACTTTATTGGTAGCATTTGCATTTTGTAGGTCAGATATTGTTTAACTGCTTTTGAATTTGCTGCTTTGTGAAGTAATATGACTGTAGGGATAAAAGAAAACAGTCTGCCAAACTAAACGCATGTGTTGCAAGATTTTAACATATGGAGACAACCTCTTTCCAGTTAAAGTAGCAGGTCTGTGACACCAAGCAAGTTCAACACAGCTTCTTAAGCCCAGGGGTGGAGATCCACTTACAGGAGAGACCTGGAGTCAGAGGACTGATTTCACCATCAAAGGTCAAGGAATAAGAAGAAGACGACGACCCAGGGGTCTCACCAAAGATTATCGCTGGATACATATTTGGTATAAAGTAATCATGTCTTTGCTCGCTTTGAACAAAATCATTTATAAATGTACTTTCACTTGCTAAAATACAATTGTTAATAGTTACCACCATAAATTTTTATTAATGGGCACTTGTATGTCAACCAGCTTGAAACAGGGGAATGTATTTTAACGATGTAGAGCTAGGCGGCCGGACCTCGAAGCTTGAGCCACCACAGGGCCTCCATTATTGTCTCTGATAATAAAGCACTGATAACCAGGCATACACTTTCCTGTGTTCTTTTCAGAGCAGCTACTGATTTATTTTGGAGGTAGCTACAGCACTGGCTACTTCACAAGTAATATACAAAGTAGCATCTGATTTGTGCAATTTCGGTATAGCACGGAAAACAGAGTTTGTTCTCAGATTGTTATGAAAAGTGCAAACACAATTGGGTAAAGGTGTAAACCAATGGCATTGCATCCGTCGATGTGTCTAAATAACAAGACAGCCTAATTTGCACGTTGTAAGAAAATATATAAAATATATTATCAAGAATACAAAATCAGTACAATTATAATGAACTCAAACTTGCATTCTCTTCTACCGCATACGGTCACTTATCTGTAGCTGTTACTGTACAATACGGCATGGCGTAGGTGGGAAAAGAAGGTGACGATCCACCTTACGGCTTCAAGACAACAGAGGGGCTTATTGTGGAAACTAAATACACTGGGTAAACTACAAAACAAAAGGTCCACATGGGGTGGAAAGCAAATTAGGGAAACAAGAATTAACTACAAGAATATCAAAAAGGGGGAAAGAGCAACACAGGGAGCAGAGCTAGAAAAACCAAGCAGGGCAGCAACATACAGTAACTTCTCACAGAACAAAATCACAAGGACTGACAGGGGAAGCCGACAAAGGCAGGCACTTAAATACACTGATACTGAGGAATATCAAAGGGCAGGTGTGCCTACAGCAGCATATATCTATAGAGACACCTATCGGTTTTTGCTGCGCTATCAAACAGTTCTACCAGGGGTGTAGCTTAATTCCTACTAGCTCGGCTTAGTTAGCAAAATGTCACCCAATAGTTCACTGTACAAGTGCGATATGCAAATGATACTGACCCACATAGCAAAATTGGTATGGCCCGGATCTGGCCCACACTATGCGCTTACACCCGGCCCACATACCGCAATGAATGACGGCCCCTTGATGGCCCAGATCTGGTTTGTCAGAGGTGGCCCACACATGGACCAGCACAAAGCCAGATGCAGACATGTTGGTGGCCCTGTTCTGGCCCAGAACAGTTTCAGCTCAGCCACCAAATGTCAGCCTATGTGTACCTTAATCAAGTCATGTAATACCTACTTAATATTAATTCAATATTCATTGAAATATTAAGTTACCTCAACATTCAAATAAAGTTGCTCTAACTTAATTTTTTTGTTTTCTACTCAGAAATGTCCATGCAAATAGTTAAAACACTTTCTTTAGTATTAGTACCTTGTTTTACTTAAGTCAGGGGAAATAAAAAACAACCGCATTTCACAATTCAACATTTTAATAAATGTTAACTAATAGTAATCATCATCACTTCATTAAACCTGATGGGGAAATTGTCTTTTACATCTCCCTCAACTTGCTCTTTGTAAGCAAGTTGTCTGTGAAGGACAGCCACTCATGGCTGCACCCAGGGAGCTGGGGGTTAAGGGCCTTTCTCAAGGACCCACAGACATGCAGAGGCTGGGTTTGAACTGGTGACCTTGTAATTACAGGCACGCAGGCTTAGCCCACTGAACCACACAGAACACATGGTCCCAGTTGTCTGATTACAAGGATTTTTATAAATAAATTACAAATATCAACTCTAAACACAAAAAGCATACAATAGGTATTTTAGACATCCAGAAATTGCACAAATGTTACAAAAGCAGTCAAGTAGAAAACAATTTGAATAGTGGAATGTAATCGTGTGCATTATATGTGTGCATGATCAGCATGGTTTAAATATGAGTACAGTCAATCTATTTCAATACATATATATTGTACAGCACAATACTATATATAGTACTATACAATATATACAATATCTATACAGTATCTAAGTAGTATTGAATTTGTAAAATGCAACTAGAAAACCCCTTGTCTCATGTTGTCTTGCCATGCTTCCCCAAAGATAATACTTGTCAAATTGGAACGTGTGTCTTCTGTTCAAGTAATTTAGCTGTGGAGCTTAATGAAAAATGGCGGGACCACAATTCGCACCAGTTAGCATAGCACCGCGCTAGCAGACCATAGCTGCTCTGGGTAAAATTGTTCTAAAACATGTTACACAGCAAATGTGCCAGTATTAAATTAACACTGCATGGTGTTTATATGGGCCCACACCATTCAGTGTTACCTATAATACTTTACAGTGTGCAGTGAGTGTTGTTTTTACAGTGTTAATATTTATTAACTCATATAGTGTTCAATTGACAACCTAGACTGTTATGTCACCAGCTCCACATATCAGCCCCATTTTAATATGCACACAAGAAGTCATAAGGATCAGAAGAGCCACCCCAGATTTACCCACCATCATGCTCCATATGCGCAAAGATTGGACCTGGGCTAGGTGATCGTAGGTGAAACCTGTCTGGGGGCAGTTCACAAACCAGCCGAAATCAATGTGTTTAAGGCAAATGTGCTGCAAAATGGCCGAACATCTTTCCTCCGCCCCTGTCCAAACAGCATCCAGGTGAAGGATTATAGCAGCATACCAAGGCGACAAAACCCTCCTCTCTCCACCTGTGGGGAAGGAACTGGTCGGATAAGAAATGCAGACAGCCTCGGCCATTCAGTATTCGAGAGCTCCAGAGACGAAAACAAACCTGCACTGTCAATGGATGACAAAACATTCCTTACCATCATGAATAACGAGGTCTACCAGGACGATGAACACAGCTGGGTAGCACCCTGCCTTCCTAGCAACTGCGAACAAGCAGTGAACCGCCTCACCTCACTTAGGAAGACACTGGAGAAAAAGACAGAAATGAGGAGCCACTACACTGAGTTCATGCAGAAAATGCTGTATAATGACCAAGCAGAGCGTGCAAAGAACACTGGTACCTACCTGCCCTCATTTGGTGTTGATCACCCGAAGAGCCAGGTCAAATAAGAGTGGTATTCAACTGCAATGCTGAATGTGAGGGCATTAGCCTAAATGATGTGCTCCTCAGCGGCCTAGATTTAACCCTCTGGGGTCGAGTGCATCGTCGGCGACGCAGCGTACTTTTCACGTCTATTTCAGTTTATAGGCCTATCTCACTGAAATCTTAATGTAGAATCATTAAAAAAACGCTGGCTAAATCCGTAATCTGTCTTCTTTTCAAAACGTTAATTGTCGGAAGTATTAAAGTTTTGAAAATTAGGTTAGATCGGCAAAAAAGTAAACCATGTCATCTTACTTTGTTTTACCTGCATCGGGGGCGTGTAATACCGCTCTCACCCGAAGATTGCTAATCACATTCTAAATAGCATTAAATAACTAAATAGCATTCTAAATAACATTAGCGCGTATTCAAGTCGCATTCGCGTGGTAATTTGATGAACAACACGGCGGTGAAACGCGATCCAGATACATCCCCTTCAGCGCCATAAAAGGGGGTTGGGGACGTGGCCAGGTGACAATGGCTAATTCATACACATGAAAGTTGCTGCATATTCAATAAAAGGAGCCAGAAATAGTGACATGAGTTAGGTTTTTCTTATTTATCCAGCTGAATGTTGCATCTACACCATTTAATCATCTTCATGTAGCCAAGACTTTGGTGATCAGAT